GTGAATGTTGTCAAAAGAGGATGTGTGATATTGTCAACAGGAGACATGTGAATGTTGTCAAAAGAGGATGTGTGATATTGTCAACAGGAGACATGTGAATATTGTCAAAGGAGGATGTGTCAAAAGGGATGTGAGAATATTGTCATCAGGTGATGTGTATATTGTCAACAGGAGACATGTGAATGTTGTCAAAAGAGGATGTGTGAATATTGTCAACAGGTGACATGTGAATGTTGTCAAAAGAGGATGTGAGAATTTTTGTCAACAGGTGACATGTGAATGTTGTCAACAGGGGACATGTGAATGTTGTCAAAAGAGGATGTGAGAATGTTGTCAAAAGAGGATGTGAGAATACTGTCAACAGGTGACACGTGAATGTTGTCAAAAGAGAATGTGTGAATGTTGTTAATGAATTAACTGAGTTTTGCATTGGTATTATTTTGTCCATGCAACAAGAAGACATTGAATGACATCACCGAGGACATGTAAATGTTGACATGAGGACATGTAATTATAGTTAACAGAATGTAGGTAATGTTGACATTGGATAGATTTTATCAACAAAAGATAATTAAATAATACCAACATAGGCTATTCAGTGTTTCCAGCAGGATTGGGTAATGGACTTAACAGGGAATATTTTATGTTGATTGTTATAATGTGTCACAGATTTGTTGAATACAGACTGTTAACTTGGTCAAACATGTCTGCATCTAGCTGCAACCTGAACAGTGAAGAAACACTTGACGTCTTAGACTAAAATGCCATTCATTTGAGGCTGGCGGACAAGTCATTCAGCTTTCTGAAAATAATGAAATATTAATTCATATGATTACTTTTTGAGTGCAAGCTTCTTGACCTTTAAAGTGAACTTGAGATAATATGATTTTCCTTGCCCTCAGAAAGAATCAATTAATATCTGACATTATCAAATTGATCATAGTGGATGGGGAGATCAATACCCTCTCCTCAGAGGAAATAAGTGGTGGAAGTCTCCAGCAGGTGCTCCAGGCTGTCCCAGAACCAGGTTGTGGCGGCAGGTGCCCTATATTTACCTTGTCCTAGATACTGATCACTGGAGGAGTCTCAAAATTTAGTTTCACTTGATGCTGATAGGTAGAGGAGTCCCAGCATGTAGCTTCTCCTTGATGCTGATTGGTGGAGGAGCCCCACTATTTAGCTTCTCCTAGATGCTGATTGGTGGAGGAGCCCCACTATTTAGCTCCTCCTTGATGCTGATTGGTGGAGGAGACCCACTATTTAACTTCTCATTGATGCTAATTGGTGCCATTGTTCCAGGTAGACATTCCACTACCATCCTCTGCTCACAATATGAACACCAACGGTTGGGCTCCAGAGATGTGATAGATGTGACTTTCATCTGTCACAATATGAAAACCAATGGTTGTGCTCCAGAGATCTAGTAGATGTGACATTCATATGTCACAATATGAACAGCAATAGTTGGCTCCAGAGATGTGATAGATGTGACTTTCATCTGTCACAATATGAAAACCAACAGTTGGACTCCAGAGATCTAGTAGATGTGACATTCATCTGTCACAATATGAACACCAATAGTTGGACTCCAGAGATCTAGACAATATGAACACCAACAGTTGACATTCATCTGTAGATGTGACACACAATATGAACAGCAATAGTTGGCTCCAGAGATGTGATAGATGTGACTTTTATCTGTCACAATATGAAAACCAACAGTTGGACTCCAGAGATCTAGTAGATGTGACATTTATCTGTCACAATATGAACACCAATGGTTAGGTTTTAGTGTTCTGCTGGATTTGTTTAGTCATGGCAAACACATGTGGGTACCCTGTCCCAGATCTGTACTATTGAACCATGGCAGTGGGGCCTATGATCTATCTTCAGTCTTAACTGTTCCCTAAATACTGAATGTCAAACATTGATTAATGTAACCAGGTCAGCAGGAGCTCAAGATCCAATTCAGTCAAATTTCTTTATCACCACTTGTGCATTGGCAACAGGGCAGTTGGCCTAGTTTGCCTTTACTACAAGCTATGATTGAGGTGTTTATACAAATGTTTAGGATGTTACCAGCATTACATGGGCAAGGTCAGACCAGCACTGTGAGACAGGTCCTTGTTGGGCACCGAGGATAGCCAACAAACAGTACATTACCTGGAGTTAGTGAGTCAGGTTTATTGATGTGCAAGTTTCGGCAGTAATTCTGTTATATCCCAGCTTCTCAGATATATTTGGGAGGAAAACCCAAAGTGGTATACGTGTTAAATAGATGTGTACCATATTTTATGACACTGGTATGTAATGTGAAATAAGATGCGAAAGATTAATTGGGGAAAATGTGAATTGAACCCATTACCTTTAGTTAGATACTCTGTGCGGTCTAAGGCTGTTGAGCCACTTGACAGCATTAGTTAGGTATTGCTAGTTTTGCTTAAGAAATTATGTTGTCATTTGGAAATAAAATATTTTAATAATAATAATAATAATGGTACTTATATTGGGCTATATCCACGCCATGAAGGTATGCTCAAAGCGCATTGCCTCAAACGATGGAAACAGAGGCAGTTGAGTTCTACACAATGGTATGAGTTGTGTGGGGATTCTTTTAGGTATAGTGCTTGAAAAGGTGGGTTATAAGACTGGATTTAAAAGATTCTAGAGATGGAATCAACTTCAGCGATTCGGATAGAGAGTTCCACAGAGTAGCGGCTGAGACGGAGAAGGATCTGGAGCCGAAAGTTTTAAGTTTGGTGACAGGCATCCGAAGGAGCTGTTGTTGACTAGAGGGCAGAGTTCTTGAAGGGAGGTATTGGACAGTCAGATCACTCAGATAGGCAGGTCCAATACCATGGACAGCTTAGTAAGTGAGTGAGAGTATTTTGAAAATGATTCGCTCAGGAATGCGGAGCCAGTGAAGCGAGTTTAGCACTGGTGTGATGTGTGCCTTTATACTTGTCCGAGTGACCAATCTGGCAGCATAGTTTTGGATGTGCTGCAGACGTCTGATCTGTTGATTGGTGATTCCATAGAGCAAACTGTTGCAATAGTGTAATCGAGAGAATATCAGAGATCTCACGAGGGAGGCAGCTGCGTCTCTCGTCAGCAAATGTCTGATGGCACTGATGTTCCTCAGGTGGTAATGACTGACCTTGCAGCAGTGGCTCATGTGATCTTCCATGGATAGCAAGGAGTCAAGGTACACACCGAGGTTCTTGACCTGTAGATGACTTGGTGATGTCAGCTGTCCCGATAGACAGATGACTTGAAGGTAATGTCAGCTGACCCGATAGACAGATGACTTGAAGGTGATGTCAGCTGACCCGATAGACAGATGACTTGAAGGTGATGTCAGCTGACCCGATAGACAGATGACTTGAAGGTGATGTCAGCTGACCCGATAGACAGATGACTTGAAGGTGATGTCAGCTGACCCGATAGACAGATGACTTGAAGGTGATGTCAGCTGACCCGATAGACAGATGACTTGAAGGTGATGTCAGCTGACCCGATAGACAGATGATCCAAAGTACATTTCCGTAACCTGGATGGAGATCCAAACAAAATCACCTCCGTTTTGTCTGAATTGAGTTTCAGCTTGTTTTGTTCCATCCATGTACTGACATCATCAATGCACTGTTGCATTGCATGTTTTGCTTCAGATTGACTGATGGGTGTTGGCTTAAAGTTGTTATGTACTTGTGAGTCATCTGCATAGAAGTGATGAGGTATATGATGTTCTTCAATACACTGACCTAGAGGTGTTGTATAAAGGGTAAAAAGTATTGGTCCCAACACTGATCCTTGTGGCACTCCACAGAAAATCTGGCTGGAGTGGACATCTCATCGCCAATTAGGACTGCCTGTGACCTGTTTGTGAGGTACGACCCAAACCACTGAAGCGGTATCCCTGTGATGCCAAAGGTGTTCTCGAGACGATGCAATATTATGCTATGATCTATGGTATCAAAGGCGGATGACAAGTCTAACAATACCAGCATAGCAATATCCCCTCTGTCAACAGATATGTGCACACTATTCATCACACAGTTCAATGGTGTTTCCGTACTGTTGGCCTGTCTATAAGCTGACTGATACTTGTGAAGTAGATCATTTGAGGTCAGGTGGTACAGTAACTGTCTCTTAACTATCTTCTCTAGGATTTTGGATATGAACGATAGGTTGGAGACTGGCCTATAGTTCTTGAGTAGCTGCGGATCTAAATTTGGCTTCTTCAGAAGGGGTTTGACAATGGCTTTTCTAAAAATAATCCGGCACAACACCCGTGGATATACTGACATTGATTTTATCTGTGATGGTGGGTAGGAGAACGTCCAGGATCTTCAACATGAACTTGGTGGGTAGCGGATCTAGGCTGCACGATATTGGTTTGGCCTCTAGGATGGTTTTAATCAGGATGTAGGACTTAAAACAAATCATGTTTGTACTTTAGTATGATGGTAATTGGGATGGATATTACCAATAGCAATGATTAGGTCAATTTCAATATTTAAATGGAATTCTTATGAAGCAAAAATTGTTTTATGAAGATGAATGGTATATGTTGAAACAGGAAGAATATAGCTTGAGTCCATGTCAACAGTATCAGAATCAGGTCAACTGGCTTCCTTTCCTTCCTGTGTTGCATCTCCAATACAGTGCTGTGAGCATGGCCATGTGTTGTGGAATTAGCGCTATATAAATATACTACCACTGCTACTACTACTACTACTACTACTACTACCACTACCACTACCACTACCACTACCACTACCACTACCACTGCTACTACTACTACTACTACTACTACTACCTCCTTTACAATTTACCTGTTGCACCTACAGAAAGTCTCTTGTACAGTTTACCTGTGTTGCACCTGCAGAAAGCCTCTTGTACAATTTACTGTTACTTTACCTGCACTAAGTCTCTATACAACTAACCTGTGTTGCACCTGCATTGGGTCTCTTTTACATTTTGCCCTTGTTGTGTTTTAGGATAATGAATGGACAAAACTCTCGAAAGCCGAGCAGCCAGAATGGACCGCCGACAAGTAAGGGCAACCGCATGGACATCCCAACACTCCGTATCCAATCAGAGACTCCAGTTCCTCCAGCTTGCAACACACCGGGCCCGCCACAAACAAGCACACGCACTGCTGAAAAGGGACTACATTTTCCTGCCCTTAGCTCCTCACGCTCTTTAGTGAATGCAGGTAAACCCACACCTCGCCAAAATGGATTTGAACAGAAATCAATATTTCCTACGCCGCGCACAAATGGGATCCAACACGGCCATATGGTCAGCCACAGTGGTTCCTTCAACAGATCCAACAAGTCAGGTGAGCTAACTCTTTCTCTTCGTCCCAACTCAGATGTTGTATGTTTCATCAGACAGGTCAAGAGGGTCACAGTAGTGGTACACATCCAAAATTTGCAATGATAATATGCTCCACTGGCTTACAACCAATACTTTTGGAGCATTTTAGACATAGATCACAGTACCAAATGGTTTTCTTTGATCTATTCTCATTTTGATTGTTATGTCATCATCACTTGTGTAATATCTTCAGCCAATATACAGTCTATATCTACTGCTGTTCTATCAGGTATCATGATGTTTAGATCGTCCACCCGGGAAGCGGAAGGTCATGGGTTCGATCCCCAACCGTGTCATACCAAAAGACATTGAAATATGGTACTTGAAGTCCTTGTCTGGGGCTCTGCATTAATGGGTACAACAAGGACTGGTCGGCTCGGAGTCAGTATAATGTGTCTGAGTGGGTATTAATGCTTCACTGCGGCATGGTATCTCAGTGGGCTAGCACTATAAAACCAGCTTCAGTCTTGGCTAGTACAAGCAGCCACACATACACACGCATGCACGTCGTCATATGAGCGAAATATTCTCAAGCACGACGTTAAACCCAATTTCACCTCACCTTATCTATCAGGTATCTATATCTACTGCTATTCTACCAGGTACCTATATCTACTGCTATTCTACCAGATATCTATATCTACTGCTATTCTACCAGGTATCTATATCTACTGCTATTCTACCAGGTATCTATATCTACTGCTATTCTACCAGGTATCTATATCTACTGCTATTCTACCAGGTATCTATATCTACTGCTATTCTACCAGGTATCTATATCTACTGCTATTCTACCAGGTATCTATATCTACTGCTATTCTACCTATATCTACCATATGTCTGTATATACTACTATTTACCACTAATTGTTTGATCAGCATTCTAAAAGTTGGTGAGTCAAATATGAAGCATACAACATTATTGAGGACAACGTCTTGTTATTTGCAGTGCAACGTTTCAGTGGAGATTATTACACTGTTATCAAGTTAAAAGTGACTACAACCAAGTCATGAGAAATATATATAAAGTTACATGCCTTATGGTTCCCTCTAAGCTGTATCTACTGCTTTTTACTGCTATTGTACAACTTCTGTATTTACTGCTGTTGTACAACTTCTGTATTCTTTACTCTACCAATTCTGCACTCATGAACAGGTCTACCAGTCATCTGTATGTACTACCATCCTAAAACTTAATCATCCGTGAAGATCCGGGTTAGAATGAACCTTCAGTAACCCATGCTTTTCGTAAGAGGCGACTAACGGGATCGGGTGGTCCGACTCGTGGACTTGGTTGACACATGTGATCATTGTATCCCATTTGAGTAGATCAATGCTCATGCTGTTGGTCACTGGATTGTCTGGTCCAGACTCGGTTATTTACAGACTGCTGCCAAATAGCTGGATTATTGCTTGTGTGGCGTAAAACTAAACTCACTCACTTTAATCAGTATTCACCACTATCCCACCACTAACTAATATTTACATGTCCTTACAACTCATTTGTATACACAACTGAGGAGAATGATACATTTGTTTAAATCCTTTTAAAAATAATCATGAATGATAATAAACTTAATAATAGAGTCCTTTTCTTCTGACAGCTATTTGAGTTGTGCAAGAACTTGTGTCTTCCCTGTGCACTTGGCAGGGATCAATATAGCATTGAGTGTGGTATTGATTGTATCGGATGAGTGCCATTCATGCTGCAGTCTTGCCCATTCATTATACCATCATAGGTGTGGCGGAGACATTAAATGTAAACTAAACAATATTCACAGAACCATCAAGATTTACACTAGATCTTCACATTTAACATTCATGTGACCACTGGTGTGTTCAAGGTTCATCTAAGTTTTTTACCTTTTGTGTCTACGTTTTCATTTGGGCAAAAAATCTAGATTTGGCTATTTGTTTTGCATTGTAAAGATTTTATGAGATATTGATTCACTGGTAATTGCAGAACAGTGGCCCATTGTGATACAAAGCTGGCTAAGATCGTGCTAGGCTTGTTTAGAAATGATACTGTTTTTTGTGAAATTCACATCCTAACAATGTGTTAAGTTGAATTGTACAGCAAGGGAATACACAGTAGATTGTGATACAGATATTGCTGTTATGCAACCGTGATATAACAGACATATTGCTGCTACAAAGCTTTGATATTGCTGTGATATAGCTGTTATACAACTGTTGTGCAGCTGTGATATAACATATATTGTTGTCATAGAGCTTTGATGATGCTGTGATATAGCTGTTATACAACTGTGATGCAGCTGTGATAAAACATATATTGCTGTCATAGAGCTTGATGTTGCTGTGATATAGCTGTTATACAACTGTGATGCAGCTGTGATAAAACATATATTGCTGTCATAGAGCTTGATGTTGCTGTGATATAGCTGTTATACAACTGTGATATAACAGATATTGAACAGCTGTCACAGAGATTTGATGTTGCTGTGATATAGCTGTTATACAACTGTGATATTGCTGTCTACAAACTTTAAATACACTCACTACTTACAAATGATTAGATTTGATGTTCATTGCCTTGGCCATGGGTCAAACATAAATCAACATTTAAAACCCATTTACAAGACAAAGATAGAACAGAAATGCCCCACTCCCTGATAGAATAGCCATAAGTGTAAAGTCCAATCAGAATGTTATTTGGGTTTGGTTGTAAGCTAAGATTAGAGTCATGACGATTTTCATCACAAGAGCTGAAGTGACTTAAATTTTAATATAAACTGAACCCACTCTTACATATCTGATAAATAGATCAAAGTCAGGAAATGTCTTGGAATCATGCCAGATAACAGTAATAAATATGTTTCTGAAGAGGAACAAAAGCTGATAAACCGTGTCCAGGTTGTACAATTATTCAGGTTTTAGAATAATCAGTTATGTTTACCTCCTGTCTTGTTCAGTTGACACTGCTGTGAGAATCTGCCTGTATTTGTTATTGTTGCAGTATAATTGGGGCAGCTCTTTTTCATGTACTTTTTGACATTTTTTACTCCAAATTAGCTTGAAAAAGTGAAAATATAAGACTGAATATGTTTTATTGTAATAGTAACATTGAATGATTTGCTTGGGTTAGCTGTAGAGATAAAAGAAACAAATGTTGAGAGAAAAGGAAACTTGCTGTCATACCAGTCCTCTTTACTTGCAATGGCCAATAGCAAGCGTTGGTCAGTTATAAGTAACCCCTGTGGGTATTCCAGGTTAGAATAGGTCTTCAGCAAACTTTGTGGTTAAAGCGCTGTCTCGTCATGCCAAAGACACAGGTTTGATTCTCCACATTGGTATAATGTGCGAAGCCCATTTCTGGTGTCCCCACATGATACTGCTGGAATATTGCTAGAAGCAGCGTAAAACCCAACTCACTCACTAAAATTTGTATGCTTATGGTGCTGGATGTTTTTGATAATAGCAGTTACTGGTTTGTCCAGTCCAGAATCAGATGTGATGGGCCACCTTCATATGGCTGGAATATTTCAGAGTTAGGCTTTAGACAACATACAGTCATGTTTAGATTTTTCTTCTGTTTTGCATTTCTTTTAGATATCTGTGATTTTGATGTATCATCAAATAAAGAGACTATAGGAATACAATTGAATCATCTTCATATTTAGTTTGTTTCAGTGCCTGTGTCAAATCCATAGACAAACCTTCTGAGGCCATGTTGCCTTATATCGATGTAGTGCCACTGTTAAATGCTACCAAACCATGAAGAAAATAAAATCCTCATCAGGAAAGTCATTTTATGTTCTAAAATTGCTTTTTAAATATTGCTTTTGGTAGTTTTTTAATTCTGGTAATGTTATATTCTGAGCTAACAGGAACATTTCCATATCAAAGGTTTTACAACCTGACTTTTTGTCCAAACCACCTCATTAAATCAACAAATATGTTACTGCTTCATCCTTCTCTCCAGTGTTAGGTTTCAGGATTTAACACATGGGCTTGTTTCCTGGAATGCTGTATTCCTCTCTGCTGTAGTTGTAATAAATAGCCTTTCTGCTTCTTAATAGTTAATCTATAGTGTCATACATAGAAGTCTATGTGTCCAGTCCATGAATGAGGCTTGTACTCATTGCATAAAGATACCAACTGAACAATGTATGCAGCCACTATTGTTGTGATTGGTCGTTAACAGGTGAAGTGAAAGGTAAATATGGACCACAGCACTGCTAAGTTGCAGGTTCTGCACCTCTCATACCAACTCTGACTGTAACGGCAGCAACACCTTCTTCGTGCATGACTGATCCACCTGGCTTCCACTGAAACCAGTGCCAAAAACAAACCCACCTATTTCTGACTGTGCAGTTTTTTGTCTGTTACACAGATCCTCTGTTAACACTAGATGAAGAAAACACACACCAGCTCTACACAAATTCTAGCTGATGTACTCAACTTTGATGTTGGTTATGAGGTGCGTTTTGATTCTGTAGCAATGTTTGAGACTCTGGTCTCATTTGTGGGAGGTTGCATGCATGAGGAACAGGAATCAGCTTAAGCTTGGTGTCTGTGAAGCTGCGACTTTGAACTAGAACTATTGAGGGGATGAGCCTAATATAAAATTAAATGCTCGGTAGATGTTAAGAACTGCTTTAAGGCTGTGTACAATTGCATTAATGTTTTGGAGGGGCTGTGGGATGGCCTAGTGGTGAAAGCATTTGCTCATCACACTAAACACCAGGGTTTGATTCCCCATAAGTGCAATGTGTGAAGCCCATTTTTGGTGTTCCCCAGCCATGATAATTCGGGAATATTGCCCGAAAGGGCGTAAAACCATGCTCACTCTGCTCCATTCACTAATACTTTTGATATCACACTTTAGCTAGAAGTAGGAGTCTTATTTGGCTGCACTAGCTTGAAGGGCCTATTGATGTTTAAGACCAGTTCCGTGTACGGCACCATGCATGTTCAACTCCTTATCCCTAACTTCTGTATGGCTTGCTCTGAAATTTAGGCATATCAATGTACAATAAACTATGGTAATATCAAACTAAAAAAACTGACTTTGCTTAGTTTGTTATATGCATTTTGATTAAGATGTACAAGTAGTTGGGAAAAAAATTGAGTTTGTTATAATATATTCCATCAATTCTTTATAAGCATGTACATTTTACTATATTTATTTAGTTTAATGACATCAGTTTCCTTAATAAAAATATAAATGGGCTCAGTAGTATATTTCTGTTAACGTATTGCCGAGTCAATTAGCATAATAGGTTATACATGTAGTTTCTTTCTGACAGTACCCAATATCAGCACAGACTCTTCTATTGTAAGTAACATGTAACAGGGGCCTATTCCGCACACCAGTCTAGTACTAAGGTGATCGTAACCTCCATACTTCAACATATAATAGTCATAGCCTCTAAGATTGCTTCATAGAACAAGGCAGTGGTGTATATATCCCTTATAGCCTGCTTGAGTGTTGTTTAATGCAATCCATCAGGTATAACATACTGTATGGCACCGACACTGCTACAGAGCTGTCATATAGTGCTGGTAATGAAGGGCTGTAGAGGCAGTGGATGTGAGTCTGGGAAGCTCTCATTATCTTGTCTCCACACACAACGGTCCTGACACTCCAGGATTATGAACTTAACGGGTCGGAGCATTAAACGTGAAAGATTATCCGTTGTGACAGTCAGCTCCACCTAACAGGCCCTGACCTGCTCCTGGCATGACAAAGAGCAACAAAATACCTGACTTTACCTATAGATTTGCTTTTCAGTTCACATACACAGTAAGATAGTTGGAGTTTTAAGCCTGTCAGTTTTATTTATGATGTGATTGAGACGTAAGGGACAGTATATCGATAATACTTGGGGAATAAAGCTGCTTCTTTTATGAACTGCCCCTCTTTGTACACACTCATGGTATGGGGAAAACTGTCACGCAGGTGCTTACGTAGATCTATAAACAATACGTGTATCATCCACGCAGTCACAATGACTGGCTATAGTCTGTTCTTTATGCATGTTGATTTAGAGGCGTAAATCTCGAGGAATCAGTTATTAGTTTACAGGATTTCTTCTCTCAGAGTCACTCATGTGTTCTAGTATTGTAGCAGTTCCTTTTGTGTTGTTAGTGTGTCAGTTGGCTTGTCTGTCCACGTTCACACAGCCACACAATAAAACAAAACCCGGTGATAACATGTCATCGGTGTGCGCAGTCCTTTAGAGATAAAGGGGGTAGGAGAAAAGTAATTCTGAAGTAGATTTCACAAGACATATACAAATGAGAAATAGATTATTTATACAAACTGACACATCTTGGTGAATTTACCATTAATTCTATTTGTGATTCTAACCTGTTTCCATTTTAAAGATTTTTTACTCAATCTCAATGCAAACCTGAGCAATTAGACATGAAACTGAATATTCCAGTGAACATTTCTGCTTGTGACACTGATTGATGATGCTTGTTTTGTTATTACCCATAATTTGATATAGTTACTGCTATGTTTAAAGGTGAATGAAAATAACAAAATGGTAGCATGTCAACTAAACAAAATGTATTTAAACTCCCTTGCTCCATCCCTTACATTTAGTGTAGTCGATGAGTTGTGAGCTGCCTGTAGGAGACAAATACGAGATTGAGAAACTCCAGTGTGAGCTACTTAAACACTCCTGCAGCAACAAAGTCAACCCTTGAACCACAAATATACCAGGTTTTTACTCCATTAGAATTTATTTATTTACTTGGACAAGTTTGCAGAGATGGATGTTAAACTCTTTTTACACAAATATCTACCTGGGCAGATGGCGGAGTACTTTTGCTTAGTGGCTGACAGATAACGTATAATATTGTTGGCAGATCTGGTTGATGGGTTACGCTTCAGACATTGTATCGGTTGTTACGCTCATTCATCTACAAACACATATTGTCTGTCAGCACTTCATTAATCAAATGTCACCTACTCCACACTTACAACACCAAGCAAGTTATGAAGTAAGTTATTTTGTAATCTGTGTGGGGCTCAATTTATTTCTTACTAAACCCGCCAAAATGCCACCTGAAAATCTGTTTTCTTCTCGATAATGATACAGTAGGATGTGTCTATTGTTGAATGATGTGATGGGGTACTTACCGTTAAGAGGCTCTGTTGATCAAGGAACCATACTGTTGCTGTATTACCCATAAGGCTATAATTATTATATGTAATAACTTTCTGATACTTGCACATGTTCAGTTTAGGATTTTCAGTGCTGATGGGTCAATTGAAGCCATATGACGTCGCAGTGATTCAGTGTTGAAAAACTACAATATGATGTCATCCATTGCACATGATGTCACAAACATTATGCATTATGTCATCCTAACAGTAGGCTGTCATCAGCTCAGTTTGACAGTCAGGTTCATATTTCACTTAGTATTCCCTCAGTATTTTAAGGAATAATGTATAGAATAAGATGTTGGAAGTTTTGGATGGTCAGTCTTTAAGTGAATGTTGTACGTCCGTCATGCCTTGTAGCTCAATGCTTATACTCTGAGTAGTTTATGATGAGAATTGATTACATTTTAAATGAATGTGTACCTGAAAAAAACGTGATCCCTCTTCCCTGAGGACACATAAAAAATGTTGTATTTTCCAATGTCTTTTATTTGAAAATTGACTTGGTAGAATTTTCTTTTTGGGATAGGTTACAAGCCTATAAACTTGCATCCTATGTACCATGTGACTTGGTTGAGGATAGTCTCCTCAAGGGATGTTCACAGTTTGTTGTCTGGGTTAAGGTCCAGCGCAATGAAAGGGGTGACATAAGCAAAGTGTTTGGTGCAAAAGAAAAGTTGTTTCTAATAGTGCTTAAGAAATAGACAAGACTAGGGGCAGGGACAGTTTTAGCAGTGGCTGAGTCTTAAGAAACAAGAAATGCCTTAACATAAGACAGAATATAGTCTACCGCCTCCTCACAGCTAGCGGAACTAATTTGGGAGGACTAATATGTTCTAAATAATAAGTTGTCAATGGCATACGATTTTCTGCAATATCTTAATGAAGGATCAGCGCCAAAACAGATTTTGGTAATAGACATGACAGGGATTTGGATTTTTTTTGTGGGGCATCTGATGTCACATTGTAATTATATTATACTGACTTTTTAGACATTCTTGATACTAAACAGTATTTGCTTGTCTGAATATCAAAATGTTAAACAGCCACAGTTCAGATACTTGACCTTGTTAAAAAATCTATGACAACAGTAATCAGGCAAAAAGAGTCATGTATGGATAGAAAAACAAATATATGCTCATATGCTCATGAGTTTGGTGGAAGAATATTTGCTTGTAAACCTGCTTATGAAGAAACAGACAGAACAGGTTCATGGGGTATTTTTAGTTTGATGTGAGGAAGTAAAACCAGGTGTTAATGCAATATTTGACGCAAGGAATTGAAGTCGGCAGACATTTTGGCCCACACATGCTGAAATGTAATGTCTGAAAGAGCTCAGTTCCACATTATTTGTAATTAGCAACTGTTGTGTATCTAGTCTGTAGATTTCCTCACCATCAGTGATCTGCAGGTTGGAGTTAGGGGATGTAGTTGAAAGGCTTCCTGACATTCTCCAACAGGAACTCACATCATTTTCAACCCTTTACTTGTTTTGCAAATGGAATACTTCAATAATGGCCTAAGTACTGGAGACCCTGCAGCTGGAAATGTAGACGAGGCCATTCCTGCAGAAACTCATGCTGAGTACTTTGATGTAAAAAATGATCTTGCAATTTTCAAAGATCAACAAATGACGAAGAATATTGTTTGCATAATGTTTGATGCCGTATGAAGACTGTGTTGATAATTGTCACCAAGCCTCAGACCAGTGGGAAGTGATTTGTGACTGGCCTTTGTAACAGGCTGAATGTATAACCCCAACCTTAAGATCAATACATTGCGCTAATATCTGACCATGGGGACTCACACGGCAATACAGTGAGTGTCATCCACTCTTATGCTTAGTGAAAGGAATGTGAATGTGCACATGCTTCTAACTGAGATTACAAACTAACAACTCATTAGTTTTTGGGGAAGTATGGTTTAAATTCATAGTCTTGATATCTGGAAGTTGATATTCTTGGTTAGTCAGGGGTGGAAATAACCCATTGCCTGACGTCCGAGTCCAGTGTTTTTTCCAGTCGGGCAAGCAAATTTGTAAATCACGCTGTACCAATGTCCAGTTGACTTTCCAATGTTAATTATGTTGTTTATTTAGAAAATCAACAAGAAAATTGTCCGGTATTGATGAAAAATTATCAGGGCAAGTGATTTTACATGTGCCACTGTACTGGTGTACACTAGCAATTTTAAAGTTATTTCCACTCTTGCTAGTGACAGATGAGATGATATAGATTCACTGCACATAATTATACTTCGTTAACATTTCCTTCTGTATATGTGGAACTTGCCACAAGCAATACAAATAGAATATTGGTACCACCAAAAGGCTTATTTTCAAACTCAGCCATAAAGCCTGTGGCTGCTTTGACATATGAAAACAATGAGTAGAAACCAACCCAAAGACCATCTCCACACAGCCTAGTGTCCTCTGTGCAATTCTTTAATACTTCATCAAACATTGACAGCGACCATATTGACCATATGTCCACCACCAAGATCTGAAAAGGTGACTTTTATGAGCATAAACTTACTCACTTAACAGAATATATGTATGTGTTCCACCAGATACTGACAATATTTTTGTGTGTTTCAGATGCCTTTGGGTATGGCCCACAATGCATCCCACTTGGTCCAGGCCGATCAGCCATCCCCAGCTTCGGTCATAATATACGCCATGGGGCCCTCCACAAGGGAGGTAATAACTTAAATCTGCCAAACCATCAGCTTCAAACGTCCACACCTACGCCAAGCGAGGTGTCCAGCATCAGGTCAAACATGAGTCCACGCCACAGTGTCAACACTCCGTCCCTCTCCATTGTATCCAATGACAGGAACTCACTGTCCACGCCAGGCGGGTTCAGTAACAGTGGTGATAAACATGTGTTTCTGGAGCCGCTCCCGAAACAACAGGACTGGTGCCATTACAAGACCCTGCCCAGTGTGTCTGCTAGTGGGACAGGATCGGTGGCAGGGAGTGACATGGACAACTATCATCCACCAGGGAGCGCCACCTCACAGTATCCTTGCAACAGCAGCAACTTGTCCCCATACCAAGTCGACATGTCACCATCTCTGTCAACGTTCACAAGTCCACGAAATTCAGCCAATGTCCATGGTCGTGCATCACAGAAACGTGCTCTCTCAATATCTCCATCTTTCTCAGACGGCTTGGACCTTAACCAAATCATCCGTATCTCGCCCACATCCTTGGTGACCATCTTGAATGGTTCCCGGGGGTCATCAACAAGTGTCTCACCACAACCTGGTATGATGCCTGGCTCATTCTGTCACATGTATGCCCGAAACAGCCCTTTCTCAGGGTCAAGTGGCAACAGGATCCATGGATTTACTCCTCAGAGTTCAGTTTCCAATGGAATTAAGCAGGAAAACACAGACTTTTACAGTATGGGCCCACCTGAGAGCCATGGCTTCCCCGACTTGATGACCAATCAGTATGTGGCACCTCAGGATCAGATTCCATACATAGAACAGTGTGCTCTGTTCAACATGCAGACAAATCAGAGTCTGCAAAGCAACATCCAGTCGCAGCAGGGGATGTCCAACTCACAACACATGCAGCAGGGGCAGCCATTCAGTGCTATGGACACCAACATCACGACTGGCATGAATGGTGGTTTGAACAATGGTATGACCAATGGGGGAATGAACAATGTTTTGGACAATGGTATGACCAATGGTGGCCTGAACAGTGGTGTGAACAACGGGATGAGTAGTGGTTTGAACAGTGGTATGAACAGTGGAATGAACAATGGAATGCACAATGGAATGAACACTATGAACCCCATGAACACTAGTATGAACAATGGTATGAACAATGTAGTTCCAATCCGACCACCACCTCCTTATGACCAGGCCGTGGAGCAACAGCAACAACAGCCACAGCAGAACATGTACCTCCATAATCCACAATCTCAAGGTCAAGGTCAGACGAACAAGTCAGAAGAATATGATGAGGAGAATGATGAGCGGCAGCAAATATGTCGCTGGATCGACTGTAACCAACAATTCAGTGAACAAGATGAACTAGTGCGCCATATAGAGAAGGCCCATATTGACCAACGCAAGGGTGAGGATTTCACGTGTTTCTGGGCTGGATGTCAGAGGAGATATCGTCCATTCAATGCCCGGTACAAGCTTCTGATCCACATGCGAGTACATTCAGGAGAGAAGCCCAACAAGTGCACGGTAAGATTGTGGGTTAAGGACATTTTGAGCCATAACATCAGGAACTAAAAGTAATGGATTTAAAGTGTTGGATTATTGTAAAGGTTATAGCTGAGCCATGAAGGTTGTATTTCTGAAACATTGTTTCAGTAACTACATTACTTGAATCTATTTGACAAAATGCTTAAGTACCATGGTTACTGTTTATATAGATTTTCGGTCACTGGTGTTACAGTGAAATCCAAGATAGAGTGTAATGGTTAAAAGCTGCAATTTTGCATAATTAATGTTTTTAACATATTTTGAATTAGGACTGTTAGTCACTGATCCTAAAACAATGATCTATTGTGAAGATATTTATCATCACAAAATTATCAATATTACATGGTATGAAAACATTTTGATGGTTTGGTGTTCAACTGTTTTTAGTATGAGTGCCTGAAGTATGTATATTTCATTGGGTTTCTTTCAAAATGTGTCCATTTATATTTGGTATTGTATCACACCATGACTGTTTGATTCTTGCAGTATCAGAGTGTACAGTTACATTAAGCTAAGGAATGACAAAAATATTTCGTACTGAACAATGAATTGTTTTATTATTTCTTGGCCAGGCATTTAGGATGGAATAACATCTTAGGGCTTGGTATGAAAATATTTTGATGACACGGTCTCTAATTGTTTTTTCATATGATTGGATATGATGTCATCAGGTGTAAACAGTTCATTTCTATATTCAGTATCATGTTTTAATTCGTCAGTTTAAAGCTCCTTTTCTCATCAGCAATATCAATCTTAAGTAGTTACGAAAGTATTTCTTCCTGAACAATTAAATGGTTTAGGATTTTGTGGCCAGGCATACAAGACCACATTTTAGAAATCAAAATATTTTAAAACTGCCACAGTATAACTATGGCTTGGAGTCTTCAGTCTTCAACACAGTGGTGTCTGCACCACTAGGAGTCATCCAGGGATTTAACTGACATGGACAAAGAATAGTAGGTGAGGAATGCCCAGCCAGACAGCCATTGTGCTGTGGTATAGATGAATACAGTCCCTGTATGACGACAAGAAGGTTGTAACAGTCCCACCATTCATCTGGCAGGGAACCATGAGTCACCGAGTCCACCTTTACACCTGGCACACCTTAACCCTGTTATGTATTGTGCTACTCCAGTCCAATAGTTACACCTTTGCTTACAGGTAAATATATATAATGAGACGCGACAATTCAAGGAACGTTACTGCCAGGAAGGTATAGTCAGTGTATTATCTGCTCTTGCCTCCAGATGGCGCTGCCATAATATGGCCTTTTCATGTTTAGTACTACTTGAACTTGCTTCAGTGATTCCTAATCAATTGGGACAAAAGTAACCAGTGCAAGTGGTACAGATGTCAATATTTACTGTCAGTGCAAAAGATTCACAATACCTGAGTAATAGCCCATCAAAAAACTAAAGGAGAAATGTTGTTCTGAGACTAACTAGGACTTAATCTATGCATTTTGTTAAAACCATCAGAGTGTTAACAAAGTTTCAATTCAGTCTAAGATTGCAGTTCTGTTAATGTACCCAGTAGGATGAGATGGTAATGCAACAGTTGGTTAATTATCTGATGCCTCACAGGCCCCGTGGGATGTATCCTCCCCAGGGAGATGAGAAGATGATACCTACTTTAACCATACACAATTACAGTGTTTAGCACTCTGTAAGAAGAAGAAGAATCATCATCATCATCAGCTATGAAGATCCGGGTTAGAATTGGTCTTCAGTAACCCAGACTTGTCGTAAAAGGCGACTAACAGGATAGGATGGTCAGGCTCGCTGACTTGGTTGACATGTGTCATCGTATCCCAGTTGCTTAGATCAATGCTCATGCTGTTGATCACTGGATTGTCTGGTCGAGACACGATTATTTACAGACTGCCATCATATAGCTGGAATATTGCTGAGTGCAGCGTCGAACAACAAACAAACCATCCAATCATCATCATCATCATCATCATCATCATCACCATCATTACTGTTATCATTATTATGTACAAACTGCTGAAGTTTAAATGAGCCATAATCAGGTGCGGCAGTTACAGCGTAAAAATATACATGTATGAATTTAAAATGTGCATGTATGGAATTTTAATCTAGTTTTGTCATTTAATGAAAACAACTTGTTTGAACAAGTACAATTATGAGTATATGGGTTGTGTTTTATGGACAAGCAAGTGTACCTGAGCTTCTGATCAATCTCCCCTGCTTTGTTTTTACCTTGAATTGGTCAGAGGTCATTAAGCTCAATGGACAAAAGGGTCATCGACTTCAAGATAACAAATCATAAATCAGGATAGGTCAATATCTTATCATCAAATCAGGACAAACATTCTGTACGCGCTTATCCTTGACACCTCAAGTCCGCCAAGAGTGTGTATAATGGTGTGTCACCAGAGATTTATCTTGACCTGCTCACAGGTGTAAATTCTACCCTAAGTCCGAAGCGGCAACAGTGTAAATTCATAAATTGGAATTACAAATTTCCTGACTTCTGTTACATAGTAATATATGACTTTGTAGAAATGACTTGTTTTTTGCCAATCTGCTTGAGGAAAATCATCAGTTTGACCTGTTACATGCATGCAAGATGAGGGAAAATGTTGTTAATTTCAAACCGGTAACATGACATAACAACGTGAAAAATACCTCCGTTTTGAAGCTTCATTATGATGAAAAACATGGGAGGCTTAATGGTTTGATGTCGGGTATCGTCGAAGCTCTGAACCTCAACAACATCACTGAACCCTTGCCGAGAGTATTTTCACAGTTGTAAGAAGCGATTTTATTGGATAAAAATTGGTTTCTAATGGCCTTTTTAAGCTACAGTCTGTTTTAAGGGTCGTGGATTGGTCAAAATCAGACACGTGACATGAGGCAGCCAATCATATTACGGCAATGGATACCGTCCTCGTAAAACTAAAAATCTCCAGATTTAGATCGAAAGTTTGGGTAAAATAACGCTATTTTGAACATATTAAGCAAGAAATGCGCTATATATACGTAAATTATGGAACCTATTGGATGATCGTGCTAGGTTATGACCTATGACAAAAATGCTTCATGTACATATTTTCAAGATTAAACATCGTGTCCGGCGGAATGAAGATTGAGGCTTGAAAGGGTTAAAGTACACTGAAGTGTATTCAATAGTTCACTGGTTTACCTGTGGCAGGATTGATGTCCTTTAGGAGTTTGTACAGAATTGTCCACTGGTTCCTCTGTGCCAGGCTTGATGTCAACTATGAGGTCACACAGGTTGTTCACTGGTTCCTCTGTGCCAGGCTTGATGTCAACTATGAGGTCACACAGGTTGTTCACTGGTTCCTCTGTGCCAGGCTTGATGTCAACTATGAGGTCACACAGTGTTGTCCACTGGTTCCTCTGTGCCAGGCTTGATGTCAACTATGAGGTCACACAGGTTGTTCACTGGTTCCTCTGTGCCAGGCTTGATGTCAACTATGAGGTCACACAGGTTGTCCACTGGTTCCTCTGTGCAAGGCTTGATGTCTGCTATGAGGTGACAATGTTGTTCACTGGATCCTCTGTGCCAGGCTTGATGTCAGCTATGTGGTCACACAGTGTTGTCCACTGGTTCCTCTGTGCCAGGTATGATGTCAACTATGAGGTCACACAGGTTGTTCACTGGTTCCTCTGTGCCAGGCTTGATGTCAACTATGAGGTCACACAGGTTGTTCACTGGTTCCTCTGTGCCAGGCTTGATGTCAACTATGAGGTCACACAGTATTGTCCACTGGTTCCTCTGTGACAGGCTTGATGTCTGCTATGAGGTGACAATGTTGTCCACTGGTCCCGCTGTGCCAGGCTTGATGTTCTTACAGTGTTGTCCACTGCGTCCTGATGACAAGAAGCCTTGTTCCATAGTACAAATCCATCTTAACATTGTGACAGTCATATACACTGCATGACTTATCTTGTCAGCCTATGTATTTAGATTAAATGATAACTTCATGAATATATGTCATTATTTTGAATGTCTTGATGCTTAAGCTGTGCCTTTAACTGGATACTGTGTAGAGACATTACCTTTCTCACCAGTTTCATGCAAGCAGCTAATTCTAGAAAGGTGAAATATTACTAACTGCGTAGAACCCATTTCACTCACTCTTGATATAAAGCATAGGTACATGATACATGGTTTGGTTATGAGGAAAGTTCCCGGAACAAAACTATCCTTAGTTTACAAAGCTACGCTTTTCCATTATCTCCTGGATGGTGAGGTTTTTGTAAGAATGTTTGTGTTTACCCATAAGACGAGGACAGGAAAACATGGGCAAGTATGGTGCTTTAATTGCACCTGTTCAAATAAGGTGTATTGTATTTCCAGGTGAGCAGGCCATAAGAAAACTTAACAAAGTATTCATAGGGCTGAGCAGCACAATAGGTGTCGCCATTTCATACTTATGTGTAGGTTGTTTGTCTATGTAGACTTGCAAAGGTCTTTAAAGATAAAGAACAATTGTGGCATCTGAAAACTGGTGGACTCTTATAGCTTGTTATGTTTTGTTTCTTTTATAAGTGGGTATTCATGGGTTGTTTTCCCCGAGAATTCAGGTCCAGGTTTTGGCAGTGACCGATGGTTCTGCTGCTGCTGAATGTCTGCTCGAAACAGTTGTGTAGTTTATTGTTTGTCATAGGCAAATACGTTGACAGTAATGGTTATTTAAATTCATTGATTTGTCTCGTACTAGGTCATTACCCAGTCATGATTACTTTGCTTTACCGACAGTTGGGTCTTATTGATCTGTGTAATGGTGATTAAGATATTGTAAAGCAATTTAATGTTTTCAATTATTTAAACATGAGTTTGAAGCATTTGAGCTCATATGCTGTGTCAAGAAATCCAGTGCTTACAGAAGCTTTGTTTGAGAGTGAAATTGTGTCATTCATTTGACCCTTTTCTTGTTCAAAGTTCTACTGTATTATTCATTTTATTTATGTGACTAGGAATAAGGTAACATTAGGCCTATTCTTTCTAAATCACATTGGTTAAAGATTTTGTTGTATACAGGTCAGGGTGTTTTCTATCAACCATTTACTGCAGTTTGTTACATTTTGATGCCTCCTGAGAAACTGCCTTATTAAGTGTTACAGATCTGTAAGTGTCAGGCAAATCAACCATGGCAACATTATTGATAATTCTGCCTTGATCATTACTTGACCATGCTTCAAACGTCAATGTTGGATTTGTTTTGACCACATTGAATATTCTTGTTTAAGAGCCATTATTCTGCCATCTATTACTGTCAGGATTTCTTCTAATGGATGAAATGACATAATGAAAGATGTTGCCGGAATAGTTTTCTTTTGAAAATTCAAATCTCATAGGTCATAAAATAGGAAGTAGTTTTGTATTGTTAGTGTTTGGTATTGTTCAAAACATTCCCTGAAGATGCAGTGGCAATGGTGCAAGTTTGTTTTTGACATGACAGTCTCATTGCTTGTAGACATGTCATTGTGTTGTGCTCTTGTGCTATGGTTGTAAACATCCCCTAAGGACCTCACTGAAACTAGGTAATGAGAGTCCTTATTCTAAGAATGCCTGTACAATGAATGTTTTGTGGTTGTTTTTTATCCAACTGTCATTAATATTCCAGCAATGTAATGACAAACTTTAACTGTTCACTGTGCATGGCTGCCAGATCCAAATTAACTATAAAGAACTGGGAACTTATTATATATCTGGGTCCTGCTACGGATCTCTTTAGCTGAGGCGTAAATGGGTACCGGTACTCAGATGGCAGTATCCAGTGCATCATGTCTGAAGGAGATTCAGAAACAGGTCTACTGTACCATATGTGAAAGTAGCTTTCAAAACTCAAGAATCTAGTTTTACAGGTTTGATGCCAAGAACAATTTTTCAATGTTTTGAATTTCTGATAGACTGTTTTCTGCTTTTCAGTTCGAGGGCTGTAACAAGGCATTCTCTCGCCTTGAGAACTTGAAGATACATCTGAGGTCGCACACAGGGGAACGTCCATACCTCTGTCAACACTCCGGCTGTACCAAGGCCTTCAGCAACTCCTCTGACCGCGCCAAACATCAGCGTACACATCTTGACACGGTAGGTGCTGGCAGAGACTTTTCCTGAATAAGTCCAGGGCCTCCTTTCACAAAGCACTAAGGTGATCGTAAGTCACTAAGGTAACCTTAGTGCAATGTTAAAGAATGGGAGTTTAGGTTAACCTTAGTAAAGGTTGCTTCGTGAAAGGAGCCCCAGAGATGTATCTCGAACTGATCAAAAGATGATGTTTGGCAGCTGGTACATGTCACAAAACTGAAGTTGTTGTTTTGTAATATTATGACTTAACAGATGCAAATTCACAAGGAACATAAAAATTAAAAAAGCAAGCCAAAACTTAAAATAAAATACTCTTGGAAAAAGGGTTAGAGCACAACAACTTAAAGCAATTGTGACTGTAAGGCTGGAACTGGCTGGCTCGCTCCTTCACTTGTTGTTTGTTTTGCTGACTACCTGACACATGAATGGGACAGTCCGCCTTCCTCTGGCCCATCAAAAAAAAAGGGCAGTTTGTGTCCATACCTTTCAGTAGAAATGTCAATTGCTTGACATTACTGCTGTGTCGTTCATATCTGACAGAGCTTTGCTTGTGTTGGCAAAATGCCAATTGTAAGATTGTCTGTAAATGACAAGAACCAATCAAACAGGTAGTTTTATTTGTCAGATACTGCAACAAAGCTCCTAACAGGGATGCTTGTTTCCCTGGACTATAACATGAGAGTGGAATGAGGGTCTCCCACACTGTGATGGAGCTTTCTGATAAAAAATCCAGCTTTTAGAAAATAGAAAATTTGTCCCCATTTTGCTTGCAGGGCAACATGGTATTGAATTCTTGAAAAATCCCCCAATGGCTCTAGTTACATGCTGTGCTTGCCAGCAGAACAGGCTATGACATGCATAAGATAGTTATGACTGAATGCTAAAGTCGATACAAAAGCTGCCTTTATGTCATATAGGAATTTATGTAGAATTTTGATGATGTCAAGCTAATTTGGACAAACACATACTTGTCCTTTTGTTATTGTTTTCTGAAGTTCAGAGCCATTTAAAGACTGAGTCTATTACAATTACACTGTTTCCTATTTATTTGCCCTAGGTTTTATGAAAAACAAACATCTGCAGAGCTTTGTCATTAGTTACGATTTGGTAAATTTCTTATTAGAGAATTTTTAATGATATATATTTGCTATAGACACAAATGTCATTCTTTCATACTCTGAAATCAGCTCCAACACTTCAGTTCTCCAAGCGGGGCGGTGTGGGGTAGCCTAGTGGTTAAAGCGTTGGCTCGTCATGCCGAAGACCCGGGTTCGAATCCCACATGGGTACAATGTGTGAAGCCCATTTCTGGTGTCCCCCGCCGTGATGTTGCTGGAATATTGCTAAAAGCGGCGTAAATCCAAACTCAGTCAGTCAGGGAGTCAGTTCTCCAAGTCTGTCTGAAGACACATTTCTTCTAGTGCTATTTCCATTGATTCTGTAGTTGTGGATCAGAGAAGCTTCAACTTGTGTGGAAATACAATGGCCGTAATACTAGATCTCAGAGAACATGAGCCTCACAGAAGACCTAGTTATCATCCCCTAGTTTCTCTGGTCCAGTCTTGGGAGGTGGGGTAGCCTAGTGGTTAAGGCATTTGCTTGTCATGTCGAAGACCCGGGTTCGATTCCCCACATAGGTACAATGTGTTAAGCCCATTTCTGGTGTCTCCCGCCATGATATTGCTGGAACATTGCTAAAAGCGGCGTAAAACTAAACTCACTCATTCTGGTCCAATCTCAGTTAATTCCCTGGCCTTGGTGCTATTAGCTGACTGCGTAAATGTCCTGCTATGAATGTGTATAATCAATAATGACACAATAAATCCCACACAATGTAATATAATTTGACTTAACAGAACAAATACCGTGTGTTGAAACGATTAGATGTGTGATTAACAACCTGAATTTGATTGCCATTGAGTTTGATAGGAATGTGTTCAGTGAGGTATCACAGGTATACTCCCTACATCTGCCGAGGACCAAACTACCCATCTTTAGTCAGGTGTGGTTCTCTCTCCACCAGTGTTGAGTAATATATAATATCCCCTTTATTGTAGTAGATCGTGTCCCTTTTGTTCAGTGTTGTGGTGTTAGCATGTTCAGTCAGAGATAGACAAGCAGAACATTAGGAGAGAGGCAGAGACATGACAGACATGTTCTCATAACACGGGATTGTTCTCACCGATATGACAAAGTGATAACCGCTGATTACGATCTTCGGAATATGTGTCTCTTTGATGAAGTGTACAAAGTCAGAGTGCAATTGCTATGTATACACTTCAAGTATGCCTGGCCAATCGTGTTCTGTAATCACAGCTTGTGCCACTAAATTGTGAAGGTGTGCCCAGTGGTCAGAGGTTAAACAGAGATACTATGCTTCAGTGAGTAGGCTTTGAATGGGATCAGTCACAAAATAAGTTCCCATCACATGGGATAGCTAGGCTTAAACATGTTCGTGTTTTCAACTTAAACTCTGACAGGTTTTTATGTGAGAACACAGCTATAAATCTCTCAGACACTTATGCTATGACGCAAACTGCCATGTGTTTTCAGTAAGGGTTTCCAAACTACAAAGTGTTTGAACGTGTAGTTTCTTGTGTATTTTTTTTGGTCTGAAATAGTTATTCATACATGTCTAATAGATTTGTTCAACAGAGTATGTAGCCGAAAGATTGTAAACACATAAATCAGTGTTTTCATTAGGAGTCGGCTTACAGATTCAGTTCAGGGAACAAGGTCGTGTTGGTGGGTAATTGATGACTACAATTCAATGCTAGCTCGAAATACATCAGTAGATAGTTGTATATTCTGTTCATTGGTTATTCCGAGCACCTCTTTGCTGTGAAGAAATAGACTTTATTGTTAACACAAACTTTGTATTAATATTATATTTTGCTCCAACATAAAGAAACTTACTTTATTGTAATACAAATACAGAGTATGTAATGGCATTTCGAAATTGGATATATTCATAGGCGATATTTCACCTGATAAAGACACAAGAGGTATCCCTGAAACATTCTTTATGTGTAAATCATTTTTTACTTTTGAAATTGATGTTGATGAGAACAGTATTTGTTTTGTTTATGTATGCTGAATGGGTGAATAAGGTTTATGTCAGCTGGAGCAATATTCCAGCAATATCACAGCTGCGGCTTCCAGAAATTGGATTCATATACTGTAAGAGTGTGGGAGATTGAATCCAGGTCTTCATCATGACAAGCAAATGCTTTAAACCACAGGGCTACCACCCTCATATGAACTGACCACTGCTCTCAATCTGACCATTGGTTGAACAGCTTTGAGAGAAGGATGTAGATAAATGTTAGTTTTATGATGACGTTGACTAGTGCCAGCTGGATGTCTCACCGATACTTTAATAAGCTAAATAAAAAAGCTGTAATTATCATCCTTAGAGAACGGTAATACAGACAAGCATGGCCATACAAACAATAAAAGTTCTTAACCTTGTACAATTTTTCACTGAAATATTTTTTTTTAAACATTTAGATGCTAGAAGTGAGAAATCAGAGAATTCATTATTTCCAGTATTTCTGCATTTCTTCAAACATATTCCCTGTGAATATTTTCAACAGCACTGCATGACTGTCACTAGTCACTAGTGTTGGGAATTGGTTAACATCTCATAATGATGATTGGTTCATTACAACCGATCAATCATTGAAAATAATTGGTTAGCATCATTTATCAAATTTTTTGGTAATCTTTGTTAATGCACAAAAAATAAATAAAAAACATGTAGTTCTTTGGGGGTTTTCAAATTGCACAAAATGCATTTGCAAATTTCACATCTTTAAATGATGACTAGTATGTTAGGGAACAAATTTCCTGGAGTCTTTAAGATAAATTCAATCGTGACTTGGAACGAGCTTGTAGTGCTCATGAAATGTAACTGACAAGACCAACCTTGTGAAAAATATCGTTAATGCAAACAAGTGCTCCAAAATTGTTTGTGTTCGAATATGAGAAAACATGATCGATTGCTTGGTCGTTTAGTCACTGCGACCAATCTTCGATTATTTCAATTAATCGGACCACCACTACTAGTCACTGTCATGACAGAAAGATATTTCTCAACTGGAAGGAATTTTCACCATCGTCACATTCAAGTAAATTCTTATAATGCACCAAGATATGGCAACAAATTATCTGATTGTCCTATAGTCGGGTAGTCTTTGTCGGATTGCTGTATTTCAGCAGTGGGATGAAGAAACACAATCTGAATGACTGTTTGGCTGTTAAGGCCTTAAACCATTTATGGAAATGAATATCATATAGGTAAAGGATCAAAACCAACTCCGAGGTTTTGTTTGAAAAAGTATGTCGATGGCAGAAGGAAATTGGGGAGGGCTGATTGTTGAAAAACAATCTCATTCTTCTCATCGATCCTCCGTAGCCTAGTGGATAAAACTGCGAAGCCAGTAAGTGAAGGGTTGCAGGTTTGAAACCAGGCATCAGCACAACATATTGGAAGTTTTCAATAATGTGATATTGTTTTGTCATATTCATTAATAGCAACACAAAGTTATCAATCTTCAAAACAAGTAAAATAATACAAAGTCAAGGGCTATTCCTCAGAAAATTCACGGGCTGTGGGCAATTCTTGTAGAAAATCCTCGGGATGAGGGCAATTCCATAGAAAATCCGCTGGATTTCTTGGAGAATGCCTGCGAAACTGCCTGTATAGTAAAATGAGCCTCGGTAAAATGAGAACCTGGTGAAACAATAGAGTAACATCACTGGAGGTTTATAATGTAGCCTCCTTTCCTTACCATCCAAATGATTGGGACAATTTGTAATTTTTCATACAGAACACCTGTAGATATTGTTTTGTCCTTGCACTTTTTAAAATATGTGGACAGGCTGTTTCCATTAAAACAAAAATTCCAGTCAGGTCTAAAATATAAAACAATATGAGATTAAGGTGGTCTAAGTCCCCTTCATAAAGTTTTCAGAAATAATTCTTTCTTCAGATGTTCAATTATCTCCTTCATTGTATGCATTAATATTACTTTTAGAAACCGTATGCCTGTCAGTACCCAGCATGCAACAAGCGGTACACAGACCCCAGCTCGCTCCGCAAACATGTCAAGAACCACAGCCAGAAAGACCAGCAACAACAGCAGAAGAAGAAGGTAAGTCACATTTTCTTTGTTAAGTTTCTTCCTTATTAGTACACTTTGCTGTTTTCGGTTTTTGTTTTGTCATTAGTGTATATTTAATGGATCATGGATGAAATCAAAACTCAGGTGTGCAGAAGTTAAACACAAACATCCAAGAGTCTAATAGTAAAAGTATTACTCCCACCTCATTTAAGATATAAGGGACCGTTCATAATTTAAGGCTTGGGTGGGGGTGGGGGGTACACATGTACTAGGGGTCAGGAATTATGTACTAAAGATATTGTCATTGATTTTGTACATGACACCAGGGGGTCACTTACTTTGTACATAAATATTGGGGGGCAGGGTGTTCCTTCACATTGTACATGCTTCTCCAAAATAACAATCATCATTCCCTCTTAATACCCCCTACCCCCGCACCCCAGCCATAAATTTGAGATCCCATCCCTGTAAGATTCTGCAATCATCCCAGTTGTAATTTGAAAATGGAATCAATACAAACATTTTACTTAGATTCTAAGTCAGACAGTAAAATATCTGTTTTTCTTCAAGATTTGTGCTTGTATTTTGTTTTGTATGAAATATTCCAGTGACCAATTGCATTGCAGTAAATGAAACAATTTGCATCTGGAAATATTACCAGTGTCTAATAAGGTGAACGATCGGATCTGAAAGCCCCAACCTTTTCAGTGGACTGAGGATGAGCTCTTTTAGTCATAAAATGCATGGAAATTTTTGAAACATAGTAGTTACAGGTCATCTTTAGAACGGAAATCTGTCTTTTTCATCTAAGGTAATTTAATTAGAAATAATGTAAATAACAAATTTCTCCAAATGCCTAACTGGACTTTCAGTAACGAGATGGCCTCCTGCAAACTGCAAGTTCCTTCTCAACATGTGACACTTATGTGACCTTCCCGTAACTATCGATGCCACCAGTGAGGCCCAGCACAAGGATCCTTAAACGTTTCCCTCAAAGCCTAAATGTGGTGACATTTATGTTTTTGTGCATGTGTTGGAGATTGGTGTTATGGCGACATGGTTAAAGGTGTACGCCTGACTTCCTGTTTTCCAGTTCGAGATGACAGGTTATTCAGAAGTATGTATACCTACCTGTCAATTTGCATTCTCACTGAACAAGTAACAAATAGCTGATATGAATTAGTCATTCAGACTGACAGAGTGATAAGGCATGCTGAATAGTATTAGGCATCATCACAGGAATTACATGTTTTTCAACATTCTGGTCAAGTGGTTGCAAGTTGAAATTCATGTATGGCTGTAAGCCACCTAGGACAGTAGGGACCTCTATGTCCTGCTTGACAACAGTGAAAGCACCTGTACGGAAACATCGCTATTATAATATATCAGAGTAGTTGTGATAACTTTGTTATCTGTAAACTAATCTTCAAAGCATCTATCAAAGCAAGAATTAGCTCTGAAACGTTGTGTAAAGAATGAAAAGAAGCTGATATCCATGAAAATGTGTCATGTATACATGTTTGTCCATGGGCGGTGGGGGTAGCCTAGTTAAAGCGTTGGCTCGTCACGCCGAAGACCCAGGTTCGATTCCCCACATGGGTACAATGTGTGAATCCCATTTCTGGTGTTCCCCGCCATGATATTGCTTAAATATTGCTAAAAGCGGCGTAAAACTAAACTCACTCAACCACTCACATGTTAGTCCAACATCTAAATGCCTTTCAAGAACTCCTGAAATCAGTTAGTTTCATGCATATATGCGGGGGCCTCCCCACACTGAAGCAATCCTGCTGGGGGTGGGATCATTACCAGTCATTATCATATACCACTTTGTTGAAGTAATGCCTGTGGGATTGACATCCCAGTGACAATTTCACCAGGGATGGACCCACAAGACATTCCCTGTATGAACATAATACCCTGTTGTCTTTTCTCTCCTTCTGTGCCACCAGCATTATTTCCTTCCATTCTGTCGGGTCATGGAGTGATGCTCAGCTTGTGTTAAGTGTTCTTTTATCCCAGTATACACGGTACTTCTGTTTAGATGCTTGTGAATCATTAAGATATTTGTGCTTATGGGTAATTACTGTGTAATGATTGTTTCATTGCCCCTGAGTAGGCTGCTGAAAAGGGAAGAAAAAGTTGCCAGCCTTTGCTTCGTCCTGAAATGTTTTGTTAGAGCCCCTTCAAAATGTCCATAGAAGCGTATTGGAAATCTGTCAGCTACTGATATTTGCTGAAATGCTTCAACACAGTGAACCTTGAAATGTGGGGCATATACGTGCAGCATGAAAGTTCAATTGTTCACTTGACTTAATGCCAAACACGAATACATTGTCCAATATTTGTATCCAATGTATTATCTTGCAATATGGAAAGATTTGTGGATATTTACAACTAGACACAAATGGGACTCTAGGTAATCTCAGCTTTTCTATTTCAGTCCTGAAGTAATCTTTGGCTATCAGACCTAGATGTGGCACAGATAGGGAAGTTGAAGTGTGGGCTCTTAGAGCAGCCATCAGGAGTATTGTCTTATATAATGTCTGTCATTATGGAGACAATTACACAACAATGCAGTTCAATTAGCAGCTTAGAGATGGATGAAGGGTCAGCTGTTAGAGTTATGTTTGTATTAGGACATTTATTGGTCAGTAGGGGTTGGTTTAATTCTTGGATCGGCTAGTAAGGGTTGGTTTAGTTCTTGGATCGGCTAGTAGGGGTTGGTTTAGTTCTTGGATCAGCTAGTAAGGTTTGGTTAAATTCTTGGATCGGCTAGTCAGAGTAGGTTTAGTTCTTGGATCGGCTAGAAGGAGTTGGTTTAGTTCTTGGATCGGCTAGTAGGGGTTGGTTTAGTTCTTGGATCAGTTAGTAGGGGTTGGTTTAGTTCTTGAATCGGCTAGTAGGGTTGGTTTAGATCTTGGATCAGTTAGTACGGGTTGGTTTAGTTCTTGGATCGGCTAGTAAGGGTTGGTTTAGTTCTTGGATCAGTTAGTAGGGGTTGGTTTAGTTCTTGGATCGGCTAGTAAGGGTTGTTTTAGTTCTTAGATCATTTAGTAGGGGTTGGTTTAGTTCTTGGATCAGCCAGTAGGGATTGGTTTAGTTCTTGGATCGGCTAGTAGAGTTGGTTTAGTTCTTCGATCATCTGGTAGAGGTAGGTTTAGTTCTTGGATCAGCTAATAGGGTTGGTTTAGTTCTTGGATCAGCTAGTAGGGATTGATTTGGCTTTGGATCAGATGGTTAAGTTGTCAGTTGGCTCTTGGATCAGCCTGGAGGCTGAGGATTGGTTCTATTGGAATTAGGCAACAAGTGTAGATTTGGCAAGATGGATCAGTCAACAGGGATAGTCATATTGTGGGATCAGCCGGAAGGGGTTGGTTTTACTGTTGGATCAGCATCCAGGGGCAGATTTGGCTCTTGGGTCACCACCATACCATGGTAGAGTTGACATAAAGACAGCTCTGACACGTACCACCTGTAGAACAACTACTTAATATGTAATAAATAGTTATATGGGTATTATAGTTAGTGTTTTGTACAGCATTGTGCTGTTCTAGTGAGCTTATCCATGTTTACCCCCTGTCAAATATCTTGATGCTACGGAACTTGAGAGGGCTTATAGTATGAGTCATTGCACAAGAGTGTCTTGCTCCGTCATCGACTGGGACTTGCTGAGGTGTTATAAGATTTATGATCCGGACAGAGCCGTACTGGCACCTACATGATTACAAATGACAGAACTTCAAAAGACAATGGTTCCATGTAATCACTTTTAGATGTACCATATGTAACTTTTGTTGAACATTTATGAGATATATGTGTGTCTTGGTTCTATTCATGTTAGCATTCATGAAAATATCAAAGAGAAATTAACTTTCTTGTCCTAGTCCTACTCTTTATGAATCCCTTAAACACTGGTTCAGATTGTTGAGAATGTACATTTTGCCAGTAGCAGAGTATTTCAAGGAGATGTTATCTTGTCTGTATTGAAACAAAATGGAGTTACACGCTAAAGCACATTTTCAAAGGCCATTTATTTCTTCATATGTGTTAAGTTAATATTTTTATTTGAGGTACATATATCTAAAAGCCCTGACAGTCTTGAATATGCAACTTATGAAATACAGGCTGAAAGAAGTTCACATCTCAGACGAAGTGACATTCATGTAATCAGTGCAACAATTTGAAGTTGGAGGTTGTTAAACATGGAAAATATTAAACATGCTGTTAAAACGTGATGGAGCTCCACGTTAAAGGGGTACAATAACGTATCTATCAGCAAGGTCATACATGTTCATTCACTGTCCCCTTCTTATCATTATCAGCTCTTAATGCAAACACGGAGCACTATTCTTCCCTGAAGTTCCAAAGCAGGCATGAATGGAAAATTGTCTGATTGTTTAATGAGAGCGAGCAAATAGTTTTACTAGAAGTGAGAGTGTATGGTGCTTCGTTTGTGAATGTCATGATGGATGCCTGTGTGGGTTCAGTAATACACATGACAGACTAGCCAGTATTGGTATTCACACATACAGGAGGAGAAATGGCCGTGCTATCTCAGGTTGAAATCTTCACTTACAAGTGCTCGAGTTGGGGACAGTAGGTAGAGTTGGGTTTCATGCTGTGCCCTGAATCAAAGACTGCAATATTCAATAGGAGGGGAATTATGAATTAATGAGGTTGTTTTGGGTAACCTTAGTGCCACCTACCCACCATGGAGCCTTTCTCCCATGTTTTTCTATACTTATACATGTTTTCACCTGTACCGAGGGTGTTTTCTCAGCTCAAACAACTTGAATGAATACTGAATGAGAAAGGTCTAACAGGCTGATAACTGCATGTTTGTTATTCCAAGTGGCTTTAATGTTAAATCATCAATTTTATTGTGGTATGTGTTCTTAATACTTCAGTTTTTATTTATGTCCTTTTCTACCATTATATATCTTTATAATATTGATAAAATCAGTGTTTGCGTTGAATTTTTTCTTCAGAATCTAATTGTTATGTTGGAATGTTTTCAGTACTGTTGC